ATCTACCTTTATTTCACTCAAAAACATTGCGCTGCTTCACCAAAGGCACTACTGATTGCTGGAAGCAGTAAAATACTACAGTGTGGCTAAATACTGATAGAAGGTTCTAAGAAATCATACAGGAGAATACCCTGAGCAGCACACCACTGAACACTGGTATAATGCACACTGCTAACAATCGTGTTCTCTATGTTGATTTCTGCACAAGGAGGAAGGTCATAGACCTTCAGGATTAGTCACCTTCTGCATAGAGAAGCATAATCTGTTTATACACTAGTATGTCTCAGCATCTTTCTGTATGTTATGGCATGGAAAGGATGAAGTCAGAGTTCTGATTAGTTAAGATGAGGAATGGAAGACCATGGCTATTTTGAAAAATGAATCAGCATGTTAAAGGTATTTTCACTGTTCCTGGTAGAGCCATTCACTGAATTACATTTGCTAACTAAATCAGTGTTTTCCCATTTTTTTCTGCCTCTCCTATATTACAAAACTATCTACTGAAATATCACAATATTCTCTTTATAAATCCAACAAAAGTATAAAAATGTTACATCTGTGGTTTAATTGTATCTTTAGTTCTTAAGAGATAGAATAAATACCCTATAATCTAATATTCCAATATACTTTTTCAGTGTTTCTCTGGTGTCTCATAGTGCTTAGTAAATATCTCTTTATTAATATAATAGTTATCCAGGACTCAATATGTTGAAGAGATAAGGCAGAATAATAAAGGATAGAGTTTGAATCCAATGATACTATATCCAAAAGATTACTGTATTCATTAATGGTGAATCACTAGCTTTTAGATATTCTTTTACCTTCTCTTCAAAGGTATTATTTAAATTTAACTCAAAATCCTTTTAGGCTTTATCTCCATTCTAATCCCTTTCTGCAACAATTCAAATGGACATCAAAAGAACTAATTATGGATGAATGGTCAGCAAATTACCAAGCAAAGAAAGGACAGAGTAAATATGCCAGACAAGTATTTGCAAGAATGTCTTAATATGTGTGAATCATTGTGTGAAAGAATTTAAAGTCAGAGGGAAAAGGAACCCTATTTTTCGACTAAGGGCATATCAATCTCAAGACAGAAAATTAAAAGCTGATCATATCATGTACCTGATGCTTCTCAAATATAAAAAAGTCCAACTCTACTAAAACAAGAGTCCTTCAAACCACTACTTGACAATCTGTAATCAAAAACCAGCTCTTTTCCCTTAAACAAGTACACTCACTACACGCGTCATCATTAAGCAGCACAAATCTACTATTTTGAAATTCACAGAACACAACAAAGTATAAGGCACTCAGGTATTACATAGAATTCAAGAAAATGCAATTCAGAATTCCCAGTGAACTATATTAAAGTTGGATGATGCCTAAAAAGCTCTCTGTTGCTACTGACTATTTTTGCATTCAGTAGGTATTAACTTAAGGCGAGTTCCATAAACATACACGGGTACTAATTAGAATTTCACTTTATAGCAAACAAAACAAAACAAAACAAAAAAAAACAAGTCGGAAGCAACATCACAGGAAAGGGCACAAATTTTACAATGCCTTTCCCTTTACCAAGTGGTGGGGAGCAGAGCTATTTTGTAAGTAGCAGAGGATGAAGTTTATCTTCAAAAGAAAAGGATTCATACCCAGAATTGGAATTGTTAGCCAGGGTCTCTTTCTGGATACAGTTCTTTGAACTCATTTAGGCAGAAAAAATACACATCAGACGTTTTTCTACATTGGTATCTCTACATATATAAATATTCAACCTTTAGAATTTAGTATATCTCTTCACTTAATAATATGTTATTACATTTACATGCAAGAGAAGAAAACTTACCGAGAATGACTTAAATATGAGGCTTGACGATGAATCTCTTCTGGGTCTATTTCTACAGGATTTATTACGGCTAGTTGATCAATAGACCACCTAAATTCACCTGGAGTCTTAACAAAAGACAGTGAACTTATTAATAAAAGCAAACTAAAACAGTTCTTCAAAATGCTAACTAATGTCATTTTCCAAAATAACATGAATGGGTACATTGTAATATAAAAATATTTTAAAATTTAATGTTTTCAAGTAATTGAATTGTACTAAATCAACTGGCCTGACATAGCTATTCTAAAACATCTAAATCTGCTGTGTGATTTTTAAAAATTATGTAATACTAGGGGGAAAAAAATCACAAAATAAAGGTATAGAAATACCAGGCCCATGTAAAAATAAAAATTTCTTTTATCAGAGGTCTTTCACTAACAACAAACTGAAGTTAAAGTCCTAACTACAAAAGTGGCTGCAAAAGCTCATAAAATAGTTGATTCTTAAAATAATCACGAATGGCAACAAATGCTGCCTTTCCATATTCAATTACCAGAATTAAAAGCTTTTTCCAAATTTTAAAATGTAATTAGAAATACAACCTGGACAAATTCAGGCCTAAAACAAGATGCAGCGATACTGTAGCTTTAAAAGTTAAACTGCAGTCATTCCAATATTAGTTTCTATTAAAATGAAAAGATAACTAAATTTTAATATGATTCAATTAAAAATCGTGGTGATCAGATTAATGAAATGATTCAATATAAACCAGTGATGGTGAAACTTCTAAGGGATTAAGAACCCAAACTGCAACCCCAAACCCACTTACTCATCACAAAGTGCCAATATTGGAATTAAACTTGAATACTGAGGTTTTCATTTAGAAAAAACAACACATACACTAATATCTTTGTTTTAAAAGAAAAACACAGTAACAGAGCTTTCAGTGATACAAACAGTTTTTTATTGAAAGGTAAAAGTCTGAATTTGGTGCACTTTTCCACATCTAATGTGATCTTTGCTATTGTGTGCATGCTAATGATCTGTCAAACCTTTGCTGCAGTGACTCAGCTCATGTGTCCAAGAGGGCTCTGTATACCCACTGCAGCATGTGTGCCACAGGTTTGCCACCACTGACAAACTAAAATGGCTCGGTTTTCCTCTAGTGCATGCTTACTCACAGCTGATAAACTGCAGCAGAAACAGTCACCTGTTTGCAGCTTTCCTAGATAACTAACTAGGTTAACAAAAGTAGACTTCAAAAAGAAGTCTAATGTAGCAAATAAAGGCAAAATTAATAAAAGTGATGAAGGACTTCCTTAATCTTCTTAAAGAACACCTTCCCTTCCATATCACCTTTGTGCTAACCTCTAATAACAGCACATATTTACTGTGTCTATCCCACTAATTGAGGGGCTGGCTTGTTTTTACAACAGCCTGCAAACTAAGCAGGGTTTTGGCATTTTTAAATGGTTGAAAGACTCAAAAGAATACTAACATTGCATTATGTGAAAACTACATGAAATTCAAATTTCAGTCCTTAAATAAAACTTTAATGGGCACAGCCACATTTATTTGTATTTTTGTCTTTTAAAAATTTGTTTACTTTCAAGCTTGCACTTCAGGAATAATGCAGAGGTGAGTAGTTTCATAGGAATTGGATAACCTGCAAAACCTAAATATTTCCTGTCTGGTGTCTATCAGAAAAAATTAGCTACTACTTAAAATGGAGTATAAGCTTTCTGAGGCTTTGTGTCTAGCAACCTTAACTTGTAAGCAGTTTAACTGCTAAGCACCATATCCGATGCATAACAACGCTCAGTAACATTTGTTGATCAAATTAGGATGACACAGCTTACTTTCTATGGGGAATTAGTAGACATATCTTCAATCACTTACACTTACTCACTTACTTACAACTACAATAAGCTAACATGTTACTTCAATTCCAAGAAAGCAAAGACTAGTTATATACGAGTAAGATGTGATGTGATACTGCATAGTAGAATGACCTCAGGCAACAATAATGTATTGTATATTGCAAAAAGCAGGGATTTGCGTGTTTTTACCACAAAGAAATGATAAATGTTTAAGAGAAGAGATAGATACCCTTGTCTTGACTGAAGTATTATACAACGTACTCATGTATCATGGGTACTCATTTTACCCAAAACTTTTTGTTTTGTACCAATTAGAAATTAACTTTTTTAGAAAGTAAATGCTAATTTTTTCTAGCCAATTAGCGTAATCACTCGATTATAATGAACACTACCAATTTAAAATTTAGGAAATATGCATGTTCCATTCTATATATGTTCCATTTTCCCTTGCCTTGTAAAAGATATTTAAAGTTATTATTTTCACTTACAATTAGTGAAAAATAGTCAAAAATAGTCAACTCGTCAAAAACAACTTACTGGCAATTTCACAGATTTAAAAACAGAAGGACTAGCAACAGTTTGTTCGTGGAGATTAGAATAATCACTTGGGCTTTCAAAAGGATTTAAAACAGGGATCCTTCCTGGAGTTTCCGGTGTTATCTGCATTTTTAATTCTTTGACATCTCCCATAGCACAGAAAGCAAACTGAAAAGAAATCAGAAGTACATATGTTAAAAATACAAAGTACCGCAGCTATTAATTCTGAAAATTTAAGTGTATTCAATAAACACATAGCCCACAAAAAATTAACTCAAAACCTACGGTTCTTGGGTGAGCAGCAGGGAAGGTGTCAACCCACGCCTAAGCGATCACTTCTGGACTCCCCTCTACTCCACATCTACACCCCCCGCCCCGCGCCCCATTCACCCCGGATCGAGCAGGCAGGCAAATCTGGAGCTGGGAAAAACGAACTCTCCAGTTCTAGTCAAAAAGAAAGGCCAGGAACTGCAAAGAACGTACCTACAAGTGTGTATTTAAAGGAGGCCCTCAGCTTCGAATCCTGGGTGCTCCCAGGGGGCCCGGCCAGGTCCCACGACAAGGCTAGACTCTTTAACTCCCAGCTTCCGCAGCTCTTAGACCAACCAGGACTCCGGGCGTCCGAACGGCTGGCCAATCGCGTCGCGCGGCTGTCCGCGAACCGGCCAATCGCAACGCGGCGGCGAAGTAAATTCGAATGGCAACTCCTCGCTCTACATTCCGCGCTGAGGAGCGAGGCTCCAAATTCAAATCAACGCAACCCCACGCCGGCGGCGAGCGCGAGGGGCGGAGCCTGGCGGCGTGAGCCGGGACGCGCGGCGGGGTTGCCCGGGAGAGGAAGGCGCTCCAGTTCCGGGTCAGGCCCGGTTCCCGCCTCCCTCGGCCTGCGCCATGGCGAGCGGCAGCGGCGCCGGGGCGGCGGGGACAGCGGCGAACCTCAGTGCGGTGAGGGAGACCATGGACGGTGAGTGCCCGCTGCGCCCCCGTTTTCGGGCCTGTGCTCCCCGGAGCCGAGGCCCGCTGCCTGGGGGCCCCACGAAGGACTCGCCGTGCTCTTCTTGCCCGGAGCAGCATGTCCACGTCGCTTGGGAAGGCCGCGTCTCGAATTTCCTTTGGTCCTTGAGTCGTTGGGGCGCGCCCCGCCCACTGCTCTCCATACGCGGCCGGAGCCTCCGCGTGCAGCCGTAACCCCGCAGGGGAACCCGCACTGACAGGACCAGCATGTGCTGAGTCACCCCGACCCCGGCTCTTCAGCAGGTCTTGTTTAACTATCTGGAGAATAAACTGGTCGCCTATGGTCACAGTTGCCCGTTGCTTTTGGCACGAGTGGCGCCAGTGCCCGGATGTTAGGGGTGTCGTCTGTTTTCACGTTCCGAGCCAGGTAGATCAATATTTACGGGTTAGTTTATCGCTACTTTCTAACGTCGGCTCTGCTGCTTCGTCCCATGGCGTGGGGCGTGGGCTCGGACGAGCCATTTAAACATCTCAGCTAGTAACCCCCACCCCATTATATAAAACCCTATCTCAGGCTTAGTGTGAATACGTAAAGATTACCGGGTAAAGGGAAACCTGGGCGGTCAGTGGGATTTTTTTTTTTTCCTGTTGCATCATTTGCCCTTCCATTTGCAGACACCTGTCCTTGTGTCCATTTGTATCCATCAATATAAGTTCGAGGTATGTTAAATATTGTCATTTGTGGTTCATCTTGACATTTTTAAGGGATTTCATCCACATCAGTTTCTATCTTAAATATAACCCTCTAGAATTGTCGTTAGGCAGTATCAGCCTGCTGAGTCTCTGAGCAGTCCCTTGCAGTAGGTGGCCCCTTTTGATAATAGCATTTCTGAACTCTTCTGTAGTGGCTGCAGCTTTCTTTTTCAAGAATTACATACAGTGTTTGAACTTTAGCGTCTAAACTTTATACCAAATCAGCATCTATTTTGTTTTTCTGTTCTTAAGAAACAGAATGTAGCCTGTTTTTGTATCCTTCTTGATAATCTCACAGCTCATTTTTTAAATTTTGTAAGTGGATATATGCACATGAAGAATGTGTATCCATGTAATCTATTGTATGTTTCCTTGAAAGCCAGTGTGTTTTCGAATAGGATGGGGTGTACGGTGTATCACTTCAGCCAGTTCTCGTTCTTTCAAGACATGGTCTTACTTGGATTACCAATCCTCCTGCCTCATCCTCCCATATGCTGTAGCTGGGATTACATATGTGAGCTCTCAAACTGGCTTAGCTAATTTGATGTTACCTGGGTTTACAGTCCTTATTTATATGACCTTGACATTTTATTTTCGTAGAAAACTTCTATTATGTGTCTGGGGAAACTTCTTATAGATACATGAGAATTAATAGTGTGCATTGGTTGCATCATCAAGGTATTTTTCTGAGAATTGATGTGCATTTAGAGTATAGAAACATGAAAAACTGAATACCAGAGGGTTTTTTTTTTAATTGAAGGACAAGATATGTGGGCTTTTATCGTATTTAAGTCAGTCTGTGAGAGCCAACATGACAAATTTTTGAGTCCCGTTTCTCTTCTCAGTAGCAGCTTTTGTCTGCCACATTGTCTTCCCTTCTGTCAGTATTAGCTGGCAGTGATTTTTAGCTGGCAGTGATTTAATGAATGCCAGTGGTTTGGAACAGTGGCAGAACTGAGTGGTAAAAAATTTTCATTTTAATGGTGAAATGAAAGGATTTTGTCACAGATAACTTCACACATGGGAGGAAATAGGTACACTTTGTTGTTTCATCTGCATACTTACTCTGAAAGGAACCTTAACCTATCCAGGCCTGATGTAATAGAAGATCTGTTGAATAAGATCCTCAGCTTTCATCTGTAGATCTTCAATGTTGTCTTTCAACATTTGCTCTTAAAACAGGTTTTTTTGGTTATCCTTTCCTCTTCATGTACTTACTTGCCTCTTTCAGCATTTTGAAATCTATTAACTGCATATGTTAGTTTTTATTTTTTCTAGAAATTTCCTTTTGATTTAACTCATCTAATTTTAGTAATACTGTTTTTTTAATTTTGATTTTATTACCACTACTTAAATTTCTGACAACTACATACTCCTTAGTAGAGGTATCAGTGTAGTACTTCTTTATATATCAGGTGTAAACTTATAAATGCATGATAGAGAAGTTAAGAGCATCATTTGAGTGGCCCTGTAAGGCAGTTCCAGTGAAACAAATGGATATTCTATGCCACTGTCCACATTCTACTCATTTAAGAAACCTGGGACTCAGTCTGGTTTTCTCACATCTCCTTCATGCCCATTATGACTGAACCCTTTCAATTCGTCACTCATCTCAGATTTGATCACTTGTCGTAATCTTTCCTGTCTCTGCCATTCCCTGGTCTTTCCCGAAATTGCAGTAACTGGGCTCCATGTGACACATTCTCAACCCCTTTTAAAATTCATTCCATATTCTGCCCGTCTCTTTAAAATGCACCCTGAGCTTGTTATACTCCCATTTGATACTTTCTGAGTCTTCCCAAAGTTCTAAATCATTAATGAGACTTATGGATTTGCATGTCCCCTTCGTCTCTCGTTTTGCATCCCCTCACTCCCTTGATAACATTGCCTTCACACCAGCTATTCAGGTCTGTGAATTTACCAAGTTTCTTCTAGCCTATGTGTTCTTCGTGATCACTTTTCACTCCTGCTTCTGGTTGATTCCTGCTCACTTTTAAGATCTAAGGTTTCAAACACTGGTTCCTTCCAAACTTGGTACAATGCCCTTCTAATTTGTTTCAAAATATGCTGTTCTTTAATTTTCTTAGAACTAGAATCAATCTTGGTCTTTGTGTTGTTGTAACTAAATATGTGATAGTGGATAATTTATTAAAAAAACACATAGTTTTCATAGTTCTGGCAGCTAGGAAGTTCAAAGGTGGGACTGCCCTGTAACTGTCAAGGGCTTTGTGCTGCAGTATTTCGTGGAAGAAGATGAAGGGAACAGGAACAGTCCATGCGCTCAAGGAAAGGAGTGAAATTCATTCTTGTATCAGGAAATCACTGATCTCTCGCAAGATAATGACACTAATCTATTCCTCAAGGCAGAACCCTGCTGGCCTATCACCAGCTAAATGTCCCATTTCTCAAAGCCACTGCATTGGGGGTGAAGTTTCTAACATAAGAACCTTATTGCACACCTTTAAACCATAGAAGTCAGTTACTTTAGTACCATTCTCCTAGACCTGACATCTGAAAACTGGAAATTTATGTCTTGTCCAATTATCTTCCCAGTAGTAGTATAGTAGGCACAAAATGCATGTAAGTACCAGTTATATAGTAAGATTTAGGAAATAGTTATTAATTACAGTTTGTAGAGATAGTAAGGGTGAATGTCAGTTTCAAAAAAAGAAAGCTTAAAGAAAAAAGTATTAGAACTGAGAAAGCACCTGGAATTATACTAAAAGAACGAATGGTAAAGACAGGAGAGCATGAACAAAAGTATGAAGTCAGGAATAAGCCAGGCGAAGTGATGCCTGTAATCCCAGTACTCTCATGGACTGAAGCAGGAGGATCACAAGTTTGAATCCAATCTGGGCAATTTAGCAAACTCAAAAAATATTAAAATGTAAAGTACTGCAGCAACAACAATAATAATAATAAAAGGGCGGAGATTGTAGCTCAGGCTCTGTACCACCAAAAAAGAAAGGGAGGGAAAATAAAGCTCAACATTTATAGGTAGGGTTCTGCCATGAAGAGCTTGGACTGAGGGGAGAGAGGAGTATTTCAGAAAGTTAATGGTGATGTGTTCTGTTTACCTGTTGCAGCCTAACCGACTGCCCCAAAGTTAGTGGCATAAACAAGTATCTTGTCTCAGAGTTCTAGATATTGACCAGACGCATCTCCTTAATTGTTGCTCACATTCCAGGTAGATAGAGCTATCGCAGTTCACACTGCTAGTTTATGCCGCTATCAGCAGGGCCCTCCAGAGGGTTTGTCTGAATGTAAGGTTTCCTCACACATAGTAGCTGGGTTCCTAAGGAGTCTTAAGAGTGCTGGAGGAGCACCATTGCCTGTTTCAGGCTTGCTTTGGAGCTCAGTGCAGTGTCACTATAAGGAAATCAAGCTCACTGGGGGGCCCTAAGCATACTTACACAATCTTGAGCCATAAGCCAACAGTACAAGGCCTTGAATGTAATGCTGTTTCCTTAAGCCATTTCATAGTGTGTTTACAAGGAACAGCAGTGAGAGTGGATAAAATGAAGCTTACCTAATGAAAAATAAGACTCTCCCAAGCTCAGTGTTCTTCAGCTGCAGTTAAGTCTGTCAGTATAATTTACTAAGCATACTAGGTCAAAGAGGAAGAGCTGCTTGATTATTTCAGTGACTGATGAAAAGCCATTAGTAAGGCTCAACATTGTTTCCTATTTCTTTTTTTTTAAGTCTTAGCAAAAGAAAATAGTACATTTTTTTTCTTTTTATCAGTACCAGGGATCGAACTCACAACTGCCTGCTTGTAAGGCAGGTGCTTATGCCACTGAGCTAAATCCCCAGCCCCCCAAAAATAGTACATTTTAAAGCATGCTTTTAATTAAAGACAGCCACATGGCACCCACATCATTTTTAATGCTGTTAAATATGTCCCAAGTAGAATTAGAAACACCCACTTCAACTGGATTTTTTAAAAATACTATACTGTTTTTAAGACTTTAGCAAATATCATAGGATAAGAAAATAATTTTTATTAGTACATATATGCAGTACATGAGGTTCACATTCTTTGTGTGGAGTTGTGACATGTACATAGCACATCCCAATTTTTAATTTCCTTTCCATCCTTTCTTTCCCCCTCTTTTTGTCTCTTGACCCCTTTCCCATTTGAGAAAGCTCTGTCTTCTACTTCATATTATGTATTTCTTATTTTATTCTATTTATAATTTGGGTTTCTCATTTAAGAGAAACCATATGATGTTTAAGTTTGTTCGTGATTTATTTCACTTACCATTGTGGGCTCAAGATGTTTAGACAACTTATAAATTCAAACATCTGACCACACAATAGAAGAGAATCAATAGAAAAATTGTTATATATATCAGAATTTGTTATGGTGGATGGCTATAAAATAAAAATGTATAATTTCTAACCTACTAAGAGTACCCATTCAAAAAAAAAAAAAGAGTATTCATTCAAATAATAAACAGATTAAACAATCCATTTATGAAAACATTCAAAAATGAAGAGTAACAAAAGTGAAGAATCAATGTGGTCAATTGAAAACTTATTTTCCGGGCTGAGGATTTAGCTCAGCGGCATAAGCACCTGCCTTACAAGCAGGCAGCTGTGAGTTCGATCCCCGGTACCGGTAAAAAGGAAAAAGACCAAAAAAAAAGATGTAATTATCAGAATAGCCATGTTCAAAAACAAGAAAAGGCGATCTCCACTGATGAGAAGAGAGAGGCTCCCCCCAAAAGAGAGGAACAGATGGGTTCCCAGCAGGGGATGGGAGTGGAACCCAAGGAAGCATGCTGCCCTGTCTGTGTGAACCTGGGATCAGAAACCTACCATCTGCCACTGCCAGACACTGAGAAACACCATCCTTGTTTTCTGGGTCTAGAGCCAAGATACTTCTAAAGGACCTGCTTTAGAGGGCGGAAGCCAGGGTTAGATTCCATATCCAGGAACATGTTGACAATCCAGGAATCCAAAAGGAATGGCATACGGATGAGTTTTCAAGAAAGGATCACAAAGCATCAAAGTGAGAAAACACAAACAACTAAAATGGAAAATGAAAAAGTATAGTAATAACCCTTTTATCAAGCCCTACCATATATGAAGCACTACCCTAAGAGTGTCCTTTATTTCTTATTCTAATCCTATAAATACTGTTTTTTTCAGAATGGTGAAAGAAAGGCACAGAGATTAAATTGCCTACTAATAAAGCTAGAATTTGAACCCTCATAATCTGGCTTTTGAATCACACTCATAACCACTGTATTGCTGCTTGTTTACACTGAGAGAAATAAATATAAGAGACCAACCTGAAAAACAGCATTATGAACATAGCCTTAAATAGGTAAAATCAGGAATACCAGCCACAAAATAAGAAATGGGTAAAAACCAGCATTTAGTTCATGAAACAGGATCAAGTGATTGAACTCTTAAAATAGTAAATTTGGCAAATAACATGAATAGTAGGTTGGCTGTAACTACAGAGCAAAGTATTAGTAATTGAACTACAAAACTAAAATGAAAGAGATGGGCTCTCAGTATCCAGCCAACCTGCAGAAACAGACCAGGTTTACCCCTCCTTGAAAAAAAATAAAACCCAGGTAAAATTTATAGAGGTTTTCAGGACACTGGGTGTTGGACGGGGAAACACAGTGATCACAGAGGCAGGAAACAAGTGAGCCCTCTGTTGTACCAGCCCACTGCCTTCAGCGAGTTTCTAAGCTTCAGTGCAGCAGGGGAACCCAGAGGACAACTAAGTGGGATAGAAGGAGTTGGAGGGACAGGGTGACTAACACAGATAGGATTTGCCAGACAGGGTACCTGAGATGGAGAAGAGAACTCATACAGACAGTTCTGGAAATCTGTGGAATGCTCTTTGAGTGTGAAACACTCCAAAGGTTAGGGGAACACTAGGACATTGTGCTCACCCAGGGCTCAGCATAATGACATTCTACCTGAGAGAATAGAAGACTTGCTGAAACACTAGAGAATGGTGCTTGGAGGACTCCAGCCTCAGTAGCAGGAAATAATCAGCCCTATACTAAGCAGCATCTCTGGTTCTGCCAAAAAAGTTCAAGTTGTGAAAAGGTCAGTTTCCATATAACCATATTCACACACGACTCCGAAATACTTGATACAAAAAGTATTCAGCACCCAACAAAGTAAAATTGGTAATTTTTTGCATCTTTGAGGACTGCAAGACATGTAAGATGGGCCGGGATTTAGCTCAGTGGCATAAGCACCTGCCTGGCAAGCACAAGGTTACGAGTTCAATACCTGGTACCACCAAAAAGATACGCAAAATGGGAAAAGAGGGCCCTTGATGGAAAAATGCAGTGAATTAACACAAAAATGACAGATACTCAAATTAGATGAATACAATACAATTGTATTCTATTCAAAAGTTTAATGGAGACATGGAAGATACAAAACTCAAATTTCTATAGAGATGAAAGTGAGTATCTGATTTTAAAAAGTGGTAAGGGCCCATTTCATGAACATCATGAATACCATGATATTGGTAACTTGTCCATTCTTCCCAAAGTAAAACGTATTTTCATGAAATTAAAATAATTGCAGTGGAATGTGCTACTGGAATGGATGAAAATGTCTTAAGTTTACCTAGAGAATAAGAGCTTATATACAATGGAAGATGACAGGAATGTAATCTGTTGCATGTAATTAAGTTTTAATTAAAAATATGGCTCCAACACAAGCAACAGATCTGTATGGGCATTTGTTTGATAAAAGTGTCATCTTCGTTGAAGAATAAAAGATAAGTCGTTCAATAAATTGTACTAGACTGGCTTATTGTGAGAGGAAAAGTTAGAATTTATCTTTTACCCAGAGTCTAAGGAACTTTTGGGGAGTGGTGATAAATTCTAACTGCTAGGAAACATTGCTGGTGAGTATAATCTTTCATGGGGAATCGCTTTGTAAACATAATGCAAGGGAAAATGATACAGGGTGTATTGGACAACACGTTAATAATTGACTAAAGATTCTAAACACACTCTGGGGGAAAAAAGCAGCATTAAACAACGTTCAGTAAAATCATTGTATTTGCATCTTGTAATAGAAGGGATTCTTGGAAAATTACTTTGGTAACCTAAGCTCTCTTCTATGCTGGCACTTCTTATGTCAAAGATAGATGCTTTTATAAACTACAATAACATAGTACTGGAAGAAGTTAAAAACTACTAGCTTTCATTTTTTATTAGATTCAGAGGATGGTTATTCTGTCAAAAGTTTGTAAAAACTCTACAAGCCTTAAATGTAAACATTCCTGACCAAGCACTTCTACTTTTGCATATGTAACCTAGTGAAATAAAACAAAGCTTAATGTGTGCAGATAGATGCTTATCAAACTATTATTTTAGTGAGGGAAGCATGAGAGCAACCTAAGCCTTAAAGTGTGATATTTTTATGAAATGAAATGTTTTACAACTAATTAAATCTTTATCAATGAGTTAGAAAATAAGATGTTAATAATTCTGATCCTGAATGAGTGATAGAAGATACTCTTAAGGAATAAAAGGGTGATATGTAAAGGGAGGTTGTAAGTTTATTTTTCAGATTCTAAAGCTGAAGACACTGTTACATGCTGATTCTAAATCCTGAAATGTGCTGATTTCTTTTTTTGTTGTTTTTAACATTTAAATTTTTTTTTATTTTAAAGAGAATAAAACCAAATAAATAAAGCCAATCAAAACAAAGCAGTGAAAGTGATATAGGACTTCAAAATGGGGTGATAGGGAATCAGCAGTGGCTACTGTAATGCCTTTGTTATCTTTAAAATCACTGGCTATTAATACCATCAGACATAATAAAATCAAACAAAACAGAACAGAATAAAACCAGTCAAAACAAAACAAAAGTGATACAGAACTTCAAAACATGATAATTGGAAATCAGTAATGGCTACCATAATATATCTTATCTTCAAAATAGCTGCCCATGTCATCAGGTATAATAAAGTCAAACAGAACCAAACCAAACTAATGAAAATGATATAGGACTTTGAAACAGAGGGAATTAACAATGTCTACTACCTTCAGAAGGAGATCCCCCATTGTTGCTATACTGCATATTGGTGTCCTATAGATAGATACTCAGACTACCAGCTTTAGGCCCACAAAGTCAATCAAACAACACAGGCATTAAAGTTTGTGTTTTGTTTTTACTTCAGTGGCTATCCCAGCCTGTGTTTCTCTGAATCAGTCAGTTGTTTGGAAAGGGTGAAGGAGTTAGTTTTTTCTTGGTATCTTCCCGGGACGTATGTATGTATGTATTTATTTATTTGGTGACAAAGTCTTGCCATGCAGTTCAGGTTGGCTTCGAACTTACTGTGTAGTACAGGAGGCTGGCTTCAAATGCACAGCAGTCTTTCTGCCTCAGCCTCCTAAATGCTAAAGGTTACAGGTGCGCCCCACCATGCCCTATGCTAGTTTCTTGATATTGTGTAGGAACATATGAATTTGTGTATATTTTAAATATTATAAGCTTTTAAAACTTGTAATATCTTTTTTTCAGTTCTGCTTGAGATTTCAAAAATTTTGAACACTGGCTTAGATATGGAAACTCTGTCTATTTGTGTACGACTTTGTGAACAAGGCATTAACCCAGAAGCTTTATCATCGGTCATTAAGGAGCTTCGCAAGGCTACTGAAGCACTAAAGGTTAGAAATTCATGCATGTATCAGTTCATTCTGAAAGACACTGTGTTTAGAAAATTAATTAAGGATAAAGTTACATGCAAGATAGTTAAATGATTATCAACACCATCAGGAGAGATTCTAAAAACCACCAGAAGCTTTGCAGCCTTTGCAGATCACAAAAATTACTGCCATGGATCACATAATCTTTTTCCAGAAACCTCTGATTATTTTTGTAATTTTATCATGTAAAAAGTAGAATTTTTTACCTCTCCAAAAAAGATGTGTGACTCAGTCTCTGATACTGATGCATATGACCTTATTTAGAAGTAGTGTCTGCACATGTAATCATGTTAAGATGAGGTCGTATTGCATCAGGGTAGCTTCTCATTTATTGGACACAGCCACAGAGACAACACCATACTGACAGAGGGGAGGAGCGCTTGCAATGTGAAAACAGACATTAGAATGGTGCATATACAAGTCAAGGAAAGCCACAGATCATTATCTGCTATCAGAATGCTAGGAAGATACAAGGAAGGGCTGGCCCTTTCGTATACTCTTCAGAAAGAGCAAGGCCTACTAGCACTTTGTTTTGGGGCTTCTAGATTCTAAAATATGAAAAAGTAAATTTCCGTTGTATTTTCCAGGTTCTAGCACTTTGTCATACAGCCCTAGTGTCTTAATTCAGATTTTAATACTGGAAAAGAGGGTGCTGCTGGAACAAAAACTTATTTTGGAATTGGGTAATAATTAGAAAGTTTTAAGGAACTTAATGGAAAAAGCTTACGTTGCCTCGAAGAGACCTGAAGGAACTGAGAACATCAAGGATGACTGTCGTGGGGAAGAAAAGAGGAGAGCTGTAGAAAAAGTTTTAGTTGTTTCAAGAGAATACAGAGAGCATAAGGTCAGGGTCTTGCTGGAAGTATAAATGTTAATGGCGATTCTGGTGATGCCTCAGACACAAGAACACTTCTGGGCACTGGAGGAAAGTGATTTTTATATAATGTGACAACTTGGCTGAATTATGTTGTACTGTTGGGAGGAAAGAGAATGTATAAATGATGAACTTGGACACTTAGGATATATAAACAATGAATGGGAATTCTTAGCTAAGAAAATTCCAAGCAAAATGTGAAAGGTACACACTGGTTTTTCGTTGGTGCTTGTAATAAAATGAGAGAAATGAAAAATTGAGAAAGGAATTGCTAAGAGAATAGAAATGGCAGTTCAGTTGAAAAACTCTTGGCATGTCTGGATGGCATGACAGTGTGGCCAGGCAACCTTTTGCTGAAGAGGTGTATGAGATGCCCATCATCCATCTCACAATGAACACTGCCAACTGGGGCTGAAAGGAGCTGAGTAAAGTGAAGGAAAGCTGTCAATTTGCTGGCATCCTACAAGGGGGAAACTGGTAGTAACTTAACTGTGAGCATGTGTAGTCCTCAGGATAATGGAGAAGTCTGGAGGTGCTGTGGCCACCATGCATAGAGGGCTACCTTTCTCCAGGTTCAGGCTGACCACCTTTAAATCGCTAAGGTGGGAGCAGGAAAAGTATTAAGTTCCCTCTCTTGCTTGCACATACATTCTGACTTAAATGTCTTGGTAACCTTTATTTCTGTGTTTATATAACACCAATTCATGAATAGTGAAACTTCAAGTTGTCCCATTAAAATCTGCTCAACAATAAAATGATTTCTTTTTTTCTTACATCTAAGACAATAGAGTATAAAAAAAAATGTGACTTCCTTGTCTTTCAGAGTATTTTCCAAAGACTACCAAAGTTTGAGGTTGTTTTTGTGGATTCAGATACCTTTTGATTATTAAATCTAACATGGAAAGTAAATCATATTCACAGAGCAGAGATTCATTCATTATGAAATAGGCACTCTAGCTGGGCATGGTGGCACATGCCTATAATGAGGCTGAGGCAGGAGGATTGCTGTGAGTGTGAGGCCAGCCTGGGCTACATAAGTGACCTTAAGGCCAGCCTGCACTGCATGACTGTCTCAAAAGAAAAAAAGAAGGGGCTGAGGGTTTATTAGCTCAGTGGCATAAGCGTCTGCCTTGCAAGCAGGCAGTTGTGAGTTCGATCCCCGGTACTGATAAAAAAGAAAAAAAGACCAAAAAGAAAAAGAGTGTACTAACTATTACTGCCAGCACCCTACAAAGCATGTGTCTCCTTCCTGCCCTCTTTTCTAGTAATGTCTTGACCTTTGTAGTGGACTCTAAACATAGATCTCTAAATACTACAGTTTAATTCTGTAAAATTTTGAACTCCATATAGATGGAATCTTGTAGCAATCTTTTTATCAGGTTTTTTTTTTAAGTTTAAGATTATCTGTGGAGTACATTTATGTTGTGTGCAGCTGTTAAGGCATTCCTTTTCTCTGAAGTATGCTTCATTCTTCAAATATACCACAATCTTTATCCTTTCTTTTGAGCATAGAGCTTTCCATTGCAGGACTATCACAAATAATGGTGCTTTGGGCCTTGTAGTCTGTCTCTTGATGTGTGTATCCATGCATTTCTGTCTGATGTGTAACTAGAAGTAAAATTGCTGAAGCGTAGACTGGGTATAGCTTCCACTTGAATAGATCATAGTCAACAAACTATTTTTAAAACAGTTGTGTGATGTGTAGTTCTCGCAACAGTTTCCCTTCCTTCACTCTTTATTGGTATTTATTGTTGTGAGCCTTTTTTCATTTTAATCATTCTTGGACATACATGTGTTCCTCATTTGGCTTTATATGCATTTCTGAATAACCAGAAGACATTTTTGAAGTTGAAGACATTTCTGTTTTTTGGCCAGGTTTTATGGTAGGTGTCTTCAGATCCCTTGTTCATTTGTCAGGTTATTTGACTTTTTAAAACTCAAATATGTGGTTCTCATAACAGAAAGAACAATCACTGAATAATATAGTAAGAATACCCTGTATTTGTAAAGAGCACTTTCTTTATAAGATCCTAAGCTCTCAAGGCTGCTGTAGCTTTATTTCCCTGACTGACATGGTAATACCTCAGTAGTGCTCTGGTAGTATCCTACTAGGGAAACTGAAGCTGTGGTAACTGACTCTGCATACTTATGGTATGTGGTTGAGCTGGGATTTTAACTTGGGGTATATGACTTGTTAAGTAAGTTGTTTACTTAACTCCAAAGCTTTTTCCTACAATAAAATCTAAAAACTAATGTGAGCCAGCTGTTTGAGAAAGGATAAAATAGTTATTGGAAGCAAAGCAGTTATTACTGATCTGTGCATGGGAACATTCCTTGGGTCAGTATTTTCTCAGAACTGTTGCAAAATAAAAAGTACTATAGACTTTTCTCATTATGTTTCTGAAGTTATAGCAAATTATTTCATGCACATCTTCTACAACTACATGAAATTTTGTTGTAGTATATTGAAATTTGAAAAAACAGGCAATTTTGATACATTACTGCAGTTTGAGAGCTATGGAGGAGAACTCAGAAGTGTTTTTACATAGCATTTTCTGAGATAATATGTAACCTAGGGAATTAGGAAAGGATGTTCAGAAACCCCTTTTTGACATAGCGTTTTCAAAGCCTCACACATTCTAGACCATAGTGAGGCACAATCAGTAATAATAACAGAAATTTTATCATTTGTATGGAAGCTCAGTCTTTGGCAGAGATGCTCTAAAACAGTTTCCATGATCTAAAGTCAGTGTACCAGGATCTCATTAAACCTAAGAGTGTGGAGATCATCAAAGTTTTCTAGCTAAGAAAAATTGTTGTCTTCTTTAGGACAGTTTATGTAATTTGTATAATTTATTTTTATTATGTTTTACTTTGAAGAGAAAAAAATCAGGAAGCAAACAAGCCTAAACAACAACAAAAGCAAAATGAGAGGGCCAGGGATTTAGCTCAGTGGCTCAAGTGCTTGCCTGGTAAGTGCAAGGTCATGAATTCAGTCCCCATACTAAAAAAGGGGAAGGGGTATCAAAAGCAAAGTGAGAACAATGACAAACAAAAAAACAAACAAAAAAGTAGGTTTTCATTAACAAGATGATAGAAATTTAGCAGTGGTTGTTAAACTGCATATTGTTACCTTCAGAATAGTTGGTCAGGTTACTAGATACAGGAATAAAATAAAACAATATAACGGAACAAAAACATTGAATTTCAAAAATAAGACAGAAGGAAATCCCCCACAGTTGCCACAGTGCACACTGCTATCCTCCACACATGCACAGACCACCAGTCCCAGGCCTACAGAGTCAGTCAAACAAACATCAGGCTATGCCTTTCACCTCAGTTGCTATGATCTCACCCTGAGTCCTTTGAATCAGTGGTATGGAGGGGTGCTTTGAGGCGGGACCTATACTCTTCAGCTTTCTCAGACCTTGCACTGAGAGGGTGTGGTATCTTGCAGAAAGGTATGGTTTGTGTTCTTGCTCTGTAATCTGTATTTTTTTTTTTTTGTATAAAATTCATGCATGTTCATGATTTTAAAATATTTAAATCATGGGGCTGGGGATTTAGCTCAGCGGCATAAGCACCTGCCTTGCAAACAGGTGGTCATGAGTTCAATCCTTGGTACCAATAAAAAGAAAGATAAGTAAATAAATAAATAAAAATTTAAATCAGAAAAGTTAAAAAAAAGGATAACCAAAAGATCATTCAAGATTGCAAGAGATAGCCAGTGGTGATATCGATGAACACCATTCCAAATAGTCAAATGCTGCTTTAAAAATTAAAATAGGCTTAATTTCACTGACTGTGAAATAGTGCTCTGTCAGTTTGGTTCTCCCTGGATTCGGCACTGTCCTTTCCTGACTGCTGCTGGTGGGATGGGCAGGCAGCTGTTTGGCCCAGCACTGTGCCAGCCAGATTTGACTTTCCCTGCTAACCTCTTTACAGATCTCACGAGCATATCCTCGTATCATTGGCTTATTCCCATATCATTGCTGTTGATGAATTTTTCTCATATTTTATGTTTATTTCTTTTGGTATTAAAGTTAGGATAAAAAAAACCTTTCTGCTCATTCTGCTGTTTTTATGGGTTTTTTCCTTTTCTTTTTTTTTTTTGCCTTTTGTATCACAAGTTGAACTCAGGACTGTGTGCTTGCCAGCAGGTGCTTATGCCACTGAGCTATATCTCTGGCCTGTGTTTTATCTACAATTTCCAATATTGAGTTAATTTTATGGTACTTGTCTCTCTTTTTTTTTTTTTTTTTAGACTAAAATATAGATGAGGAACATCTTGAAATGTTGCAAGAAACTAGATCTGAGACAGATTTTCTTTTGCTCTTTCGTTAATGCTATAAAAAATAGTAACAAAGTTCTATTATTTTACCTTTCACTTTCACAGATTCATAATGTTGTGAAACCACTTATATGATTATGCGTTAAAAGCCTAATGTTTTAAATTAAGTTTATCATGTCCATATGGCAGTAAGATATTACTGTTTAAGGTGTGTGAAATATTTTAAGACTTTCTAGACATACATACCAAGTCATTTAGTGATGAATGATAATGTGTCTGGGAATTTTTCAGATTCATCTAGGAAAGTGTAATAGTTGAGGGTTTAGGTGAAACAGGATTAGCTAGATATTTATGATCCTATTTTGTTCTTGTTTTCTCCATTTTGTAGAATTTTTTATCGTTCTTAATTCCCTTTTTTGTACTGTAATAAAACATAGGGAACAACCAGTGAAGGCTATGGGACCAAGTTGTATCATATTTTAATTTTGCAGTAGGAGTACACTTTTACATGTTTTCTTAAGTATATTTAAGATGATATAACTGTATTCTACTTTAGCCTACCAGTAAGTAATCAGTAGGTAGTCCTGATGTACAGCAAAAATGAAGACCACTGTATTAATCCTGATAAAAGTAGCTCAGTAATATAGGAGGATAATTCTTTGTTAAATACAGTGTAGTATTGACTAAATGTATCTCCCTGGTATGTCTTTTACCATCTTTTTTTTTTTTTTTTTTTTTTTTTTTTAATAATGAGTCTTATTTTTGTGTTCTAGGCTGCTGAAAATACAAGCTGACTTTCTGGAGAAATCTTGATAAGATTTGTCAAGCTCTGCAAGAGGATTTGAAGATTGCATTGTTGTCAAGAATGTATAGTAAAATTACTGCATGCAGCAGTGTAGAAAAAAATTCCTTTTAAAAAGAATATAAAACCATAGCTTTATAAATCAATGGAAAGTGGCTTACAGAAGGAACTATCAATGTGTTTACATCACATCTTACTCATTTTTTTAAATAGCCCTGATGCTTTGGCATTGCTGTGTCCATAGTTACATATTCCTTATTTATAGCTCTGATAGCTTTAATTTTCTAAGCAGTCTGTCTGGCAGCTGTGCACATCTGCTGTGCCTGGTTGAAGTATAGTGGAACCCATCAGCAGGGATGTGCGCTAGTTATGACTTGTTGACATTTCCATTATAAACTTTAATTTTGAATTGTTTATGCATAACAAGTGTGGATTTATGTTGTGTTAGGCCGAAAGTTGACACGATTTCAGCCACCATTGTGAATTTTGATTTAGATTTCTTATGCATACCAGAATCTTGTTTTTAAAATAAGAGCATAGAGAACATTTCTTGTAATCAGCTCTTTAACAAAGAACATTTAGTTTTTAAAAGTTTCGGTAGTTAGTGTGAGCCAGTCATTTTTGTATTAAATAAAAAATAAAACTTCTAGGAACTTTAAAATTTTAAAAGTACTGACTGTGCTTAGTGTAATATTATTTTTAGTTTAAATCATTTAAATCTAATAGGAATACTGGGGATTTTTTCTAAGTTTTATATCCTATAAAGGCCTACAAAATAATTTATAAAATGAAATGTAGCCAACATGCAAAATTCCTTTTTACTTTTATTACATAAAAGTAACTGGAATGCTAACCTAATAATCTTGAGTGGTTATTTAAATTAGTAGGCAGTATGTTTCAACAAATATTTAACTTTATTTTTTTGGTATATTTTAGATATACATAATGAATTTATACTGTACGTGATATATCTTGCTTTTTTTCCCATTCCCCTCTCCTCCCTTCAGCCCTCTTCTCCTCAGTTACAGAAGCTAACAAATATTTTATTTTCTAAAGAAGTAAAGATTTATAGTCATTTTAAAACCAGATAAGTGTGGTTAAGGAATTATAAGTATGGTTTCCAAAATCTTCATTTGCCTTTATTTTTATCCTTGAAATTTTAACTCATCAGAGTGATGTTCTGAGAATGAATTTTAGAAAATTTAGGATAGGGCCGGGAATTTAGCTCAGCAGTGTAAGTGCCTGGCAAGTGCAAGGTGGTAAGTTTGATTCCTAGTACCAAAAAAGAAAAGAAAAGAAAGAAAGAAAATTAAGGTAGAATTGGTTCTGTTGCTATAACAGAATCTCAGTGAAATTTTTTTGCAAAGCTAATAGAATCCTATTTTACTATTTCTTAAATTTTAAATTTTGTTAGATGCCATTTCAAATATTGTACAAGAATTCATTCTTCAGTAGCATTTCTTTTTATTCAGACACCTGAATAATTTTAATAAAATTTAGCAATATTTAAATAGCTTCTCTGACATTTAAAAAAAAATGTGGGCTTTTGACTACTTTGACTTTTAAAAAGTATGGCATCTTTACAATTAAACTGAAAAGTCTTTTTGGCGGAATAAGTGAGAAGACAGAACTTAAAAGAAGCATTCGACTGATAATAAAAATGGCAAATACTACCTGTTATTTATACAATCAAAACTCTTTCCTCATACTCCAAATTTTGTGTATATTTCTAGGCCTTAAGAGTTGATGGTTTTATTTATGATTTTGTAGATTAAGTTATTTATGTATGAAACAAAGTAGGAAAATATATTTAAAAAATTATGTTTACAGAGGACTCTAGTGTGTCATTTCTTGAATGTAAACGTATATTTTTAATGGACACTTAAGTAATATTTGAGAAACCAAACAAAACAACAAAATTGCAGTGTTATGTATATGTCAGTGACAAAAATAAAGCCATTTTGATGGTATTAGCATGTGCTTTTGATTTAATGTATTTTGTGAATTCAGTTGTGGGTAGTCTGTAAGTATTAATATGCTTGTGGTATATGATTGCAGACTATTTAAACATAGATTATGTTTTTTTGACTTAATATTCAAATTGTTTTACAACCCCTTCAACTCTCCACCTCTAGAACTTTCTCATCCTCCTAATCTAAAACTATACCTATTAAGCAGTAATTCTCTATTCTTGTTCCTTCCAGCTCTTGCAAATATTTTTCTACCTTGTGTCAATTTGATTATTCCAGGTACCTCATGTAGGTTGCATCATAGAGTATCTTGGTGTATCTTATTTTACACGGCACAAGGTCTTTAGGATTCGCCACTGTTGTAGCATATATCAGAATTTTCTTCCGTTTTACCTTTGTGTGTATATTACCACATTTTGTTTACTCATCTATTAGCACATTTGGGTTATTTTTACCTTTTGGCTATTGTAAGTAATGCTTTCCTAAACATTGATTTGCAAATGCAATGCCTGTTCATCTCTTTCATTCGTTTGTACTTATACCCAGAATTTGAAGGATGGGATAGGACAAGGTAGGACTAGACTGTGACCCAGGCAAAACTGCTTAAACCCTGATAGATCCCAAAAATCCTACCAAAATCACATGGAATTTAATGTCAGGTATAGGATTTCAAAATAGAGAAGAAATTGAATTGACTAAGTTTCTAAGATTTTGTTTGTTTTTCTTAGGAAAGTGATTTTTATTTTAGGAACATCATTTTTAACATACATATTGAATCTCACCCTTGCCAAGCTTCCAAACACCCTTTACCCATCTATAGTTTTTTGTCCTATAGCACTTAGGACTCTAATATATTTTACTTAGTGATTATGTTTATTTCCCATCTCCCTCTTTCTGAAAAAACCCACAACAGCAAAGACTTTTCTTGGTTTTGTTCTTCAGTATCTTAAGAATCTTGAACAGTGCCCAGCACCTAGTAAGTTCTAAATACACACTGGATGGTTGAATAGGTAGACTGGATTTCTAAGAGCCGTTATCTACATACTTGAAGAGGTAGTATCAGCCCGATGGCACATAATGAAACTGAGGTACAAAGTGATAAATAATTTTGGAAGTGGCAGAGTCAGTATTTAAACTCTGGTAAGTGACTTCAGCTCACACACTTCAATGCTGTCGGTATGTATCATCTCATGGGGTAAAAAGGGAGAAGCAAAAGGATATGGGGGATCAGATGCTGAGTGGTAATTGAGGATCCAAAAGTAGGTGTTGGTAAGACAGAAGACTAATGGTAGGTGCTTATTTTTCGCATGGTTGCCCCATTTGTGCTCATGAGGGCTGTTGGTGATCATGGTGGTCTAGTGGATTTTTTGGTAGCCTCTCAGTAGATCTATAGTACTGTGAAGAACAGGTTAAAATCACTCATTTTCTGCAAGTGTTATACTTGGGAATCCTGTGATAATATCCTTTTTTTTTTTTTAATGAAACTCAGTGTTGTGCCCATATATATCAAATTAGAGTGTTTTAGCATGTTAAAAGAAAAAAAATGGCATGCCTCACAACCCTAAAAGGCAGCCTCAAGAAGTTTTAACAATAGCTGGGGATTTAACTCAGAGGCATAAGTGCCTTCCTTGCTATCACGCACAGTCGTGAGTTTGATCCCTGGTAACGATATCCATCAGAATGGAGCAGAATGTTGAGGTGTCATGTGGGTTGCCAGTAGTTTAGTGGAAGTGCAGGCATGGGAAAGCAGTCCCCATTATCACCTCTAACAACTGAGGGCAGTAAGTTGCCAGCTGTACACTTAGAGTTAAATCAAAAGCCTTTAAGTAGGTGTTTGTAATGATTGCACTTGCAGAGGTAATACTGAAAAGCTTTTAGTGCCTGTTAAATGTTTTAGAGGTACCTGTCTGCCTAATCCCCTACTAGCAAATGGTCTTTTTATTGTAACAGCTAGGGCTTATATGTGCATTTGCTGACTGCTATACATTGGAGTATCTAAATAAACAGGCAAGTTTTATGAAAATAAATTACATCTGATTCAGTCTAAATAGCCAGTTATCATAGTGGTCTAAGCATCACCCATTCAGTGTCTCATCATTTTGCTAGAGGAAAATGAACTATGACTGCACTGGGAAGAAACAGATTTTCTAGTTTTTCTAATTTTAATCAGTATTTGTTAGTCAAGAATAATCTGATGAACCTAGGAGAAAAACAAGGGCAATGGTGGAAACTGGCTTGCTTGTGAGGACACAGTTCATTTTGATACTTGCGTTTTTATTTTTTGAGTCAGTCTCACTAATTCAGGTAGGCCTTGAACTCATGACAGTCTTCCTGTCTTAGCCTCCCTAGTGCTGGCTTTATTAGGGTGCTCCACCAGCCTGGCTGTTTCAAAAACTGCATGTAGGCAGCTTTTATGCTGACATGTACATTTCTCTCAACCCTATTTTTTCTGTTGTATCATGAGAGTTTTCACCTAGAGTCTCTGCATCTGTGCTCCCAATATTGACATTTCCTGGAATATCTTTATGTTGGGTTTTTAACCCACATTTATAGACAACTGAGTTACTATTTTTAAACATTTTTCTTTAAACTCAGTTTTTAAAAATCTAGGGGACTGGGAGTGTCGCTCAGTGGCAGAGTGTTTAGTATACCTGGGCCCCTGGATTTCATCTTCAGTATTGCCAAAAAATAAAAGTTGAGAAAGCTAAAAAAGTTTATTTTGAAAATTAAGATTTTTTGAAGGGAGTAGAAATACAACAGAACAAAACATAAAGCCAATCGAGACAGTGTGGTGAAATTGGTACAGAACTTCACAGCAGGTTACCAGGATAATAGTAATAGGTACCATAGTATATCTCATTATCTTCACAATAGTTGTCTAGCCAATTAGGTATAGCAAAATCAAAGACAGAATATTATAAAAACAATGGAAAGAATATTGAACAGAGTAATACAATCATAATGAAACAAAACAGTGAAAGCAACATTTGATTTCAAATAAGATAGATTTCCTCATACTTGCTATATTGCATACAATCATCCTCCCAAGAGACACTCAGATGTCTGTCCCCAGTTGCTAATGGCAAGGGTGGGGGGTTGGGATGTTTGATTCCCAGCCTACACACCGCTAGGCTCACAGCAGACACTGACTGGGTCTCCTGGCTGGAGCTGGAAAGGCTTACCAAGAGGAGGGGCGAACTGCTTCTTTGTGCAGCTGCCTGGGTTCCAGCATGGCCGTTGAAAATTAAGATTTAAATGACTTCATTTGCCATAGCCATGAAATATTTACGAGGAACATTAAATACTAAATGATACCTTTGCTAGATACTGTCCTTAAAAATGGATTCTGAGATGTGCTGTTTGTTTAGCCAAAAACAGGTAGCAAGTGTTAGTCTGAGACATAATTCAGAACCAAGTTTTCTTTTGGTGATATAAGTAGAGTTAGAAGAGTATTCAAAAGAGTTTCATGATAGCATTTATTGCAGTGTATGTGCAGTGTCCCATGTGTCACCGTTTTTGGTGCCCATCTTACATTATAGGAAATCACTTAGTCTGTCAAGATTTTTTTGACCCCAGTGTTTGGTAAATAGCTCTGGTTTTGGGGTCACACAAAGTGGGATTCTGAATGCTGTCATCAAGACTTAATAGGTAGGGTGAGGACAAAACAGCATTGTGAAGATTAAATGGAGATGACGGGTGTACGATCCATAGCATACCACCTGGCCTACAGTAGAAACTAAGTAGATGTGAAGCTCTATTTTTCTTACATGTTAGACTTACCCAGCACCTTAATTTCAGGAGCAGCTGAATGATTTTGAGTGATACATATTCAAAATATGCTGCTTTTTTCATCAGTGAAAGCTCTTTTCAGAAACTTTTTATATATATTTTTTGAAACTTAAAATATATTTATAAATACAAGCATATACTGTGTTTATATATGGAAAATGAATAAGATACCACACTAATAAAAATGAAGGATTAACATGTACCTAAATTTTGCTGTCAAGGCTTGCATAGCTAATTAACAGAAAAGACCCCAAGGGGTTGAGAATGTGTTGGGAGAAAAAGTAAAGATTATGAATAAATTTTAAATCTCTACCTTCAACATTAAAAGAGCTCATTGTTCTCAGTTGCTTCTGATAAACCCAATGGGAATAGCAGCGATCTTTGTTCCTGCTGAACACCAAAAACCATCATGTAAAATAGAAGCAAGCAGCTGGCTAAATGAAAGCTTCCTTGGATGTCTACTGATAGAAAGTTATGGAAAAGGAGAGTAGCCAGGGGAAGAAGTCCTGTAAGGTTTAATTTGTGTTGGATAAGCACCATTTCTACTTTCCTTTAATAGAAATGGAAAGGATTTTATCAAAGCCAAATTCAGAAATTTGGGAAAGAGTATTTTGTGTGGCATAGACAGAAAAGTGCTTTTAGAGAACTCTGCTGAGCTGCTCTTACATGAAATGCCTGTTGCACACTAACCTTGGGGGCCCTGCACTGTTAGGATGGCTGCTGCAGACTCAACCGCTAGCTGCTTTAATACAGAAAATTGTATTAGATTATTATGATCCCTGTCCTGTCCCTTTCAGCGGTGTTGGGAGGTTTGAGAATCTCTAGGGTTTTAGCAGGAAGTCTGGTTAAACAGGAAGCTCTGAACTTGTGAAAAGAGAAAATACCCCATCTTACCTGTAATTTCACAAATCTTCAGTCACTTGAAACATTTTGTGCCAGGCTTTCTTGTTTTTCTGACAAACATAGATCCAGCTAAAGGAATTCATATGAAGATATTTCTGAATAATGTATTTCCCCTCTCAAGGGAAAAGCAAGTCAACACCATTTAACTTGAAAAAATGCAGCCAGCAAGGCAGTGCAAGTGGGTGAGATTAGTGGGTGCAGACAGATTTTAGGCGCCTGGCATCATTTGACTGCAGGACTCATCATTCCTTTAAGCCTCCCAACACAAGGCCATTATTTTACATCAGCTGGATTCCATCTCCTGATCC